TTGGGCGGTAGTGGCTTCTCTTCGACCGGGCTAATGGCTTTCGTTTCTTGGGTTTAAAATTAGCATTATTGTCACACGTCAATCAATTCATGCGGCCAAACAACAAACCTGGTTCCTCATGTGGGGCAGGGTGGTCGTCGTCGAGCTTGACATCGTCCAAATTTGAGGTATTGGAAAGTCGATGGGATACGGGAGAAGCTTTGCGCTTGATATCCACGTCCTCATGGTCGCTCACAAAGTCCTCGTCGACAAAGTGATCGTCTGGTGTTGGTGACGGCGGAGCTGGTGCTTCCACCCTGTCCTCTTCAGTGTGCTCCTCCTTTTTCGGGGATTCAGGGTCCGTTTCCTCGGCGGGCGGTGGTTTGGAGACGGAGGGCGTTCTCTGAGTAAGAGAACGCACCTCAGCTACCTCGGCGACATCGACGACGGCATCTTCGAAGGCGTCCTGCTGCTTATTCGGTCATGTCAGCGAGTGGTTCTAGACTGTCTGCACTGCAGATGCGGCTTGTTGTCGAGCTTGGAAGGCCCAAGCAGGTATGTGTGCATCAAGGGAGGATGAGGGGAGCGTTACATTCTCCTTATCAGAGTCGGAGTCGGAGTCAGTTGAGAGTCTCTTCTCCTTGGCCTCTTTGGTCTCCTTGTTGACTTCAGGAGAAACGGTCGCGACAGGCTCGTCTGGCTGGGACATGGCGAAATGAAGAATCGTAGGTCAACTTGCGCTGACCTATGTGGGTGTGTGCGGTATGGTGATATAGCTTGCGTCCAGGTCGAGGTCGGACTGTTTAAAGGACCTAGTTGGTGTCCATGGAGATGGGGGGGACTACAGCAGTAGGCAAATCTGTAGACTGTGTCGTCTGTGCTGCTGAAGAACACTTTATGATACGGGTGCTGCAGTCTCGGTCTCGTAAGGTAAGGTAAGATGTAGGGTTGATTGCTGGGAACTGCTTTTGTTGTTGTGTGTGTGTGTGTTGTTGTTCGTCTCTAAGCTTGTCAGGACAGAAGACGGAGAATCGAGAAGGCGAGGAGGTCAGGGTCGAGGGTCGAGGGTTGACAGTCGAGGATCGGCTGTGGCGCGCAAGTTGTGCCTCTCTCTCCCTTTTTTTTCCTTTCCTATTTCCTGGCTGGGGGGCGTGCTGGGCATGGGGATGGGATGGGGAATTGAATTGAATGATTGAAGCTGCCCGAGCCTCACCGCAGAGGGGGGAGACCCCATTCAGATGTATCTTTTCTCTTATTCAAGGTAACACAGTACCTCAGTCAATCCACCTACCTGAATGGGACCTGGAAGTAGACCCCCGAACGGTGGCTGAGAATACTCCGTATGCACTCAAGTCCCGTCCGTATTCGCCCAAATAATCGACCCTCAGCACTCCTCGAGGTCCACCACAGACGAACGTTCAATTCTAGCGTAAGGAGTCCAGTCGACTTTTGGGGGCCAGGGGGAGGCAAAAGGTGAGGGACCGGGCCAACCACTGATAGCTTAGCGCGCCGCTGCGGAACGGGATCGCTCTCTGTTTCGGGGCTGCACAAGGGGGGCGTCTTGCAAAGTTGCAAGTCTGGATGCCGTGAGTTCCTGAGTTCCTCACCCGGAGCGCAGGACTTGCCAGCCCCAAATGCCATCAATGACAGGGGGCGCTCCTTTGAAAATGCCAGTCAGTCACGCCAGTCTGGAAGGGCCAGCCAAAAGGAAATTACTGGGATCGACACGGCAGGGAAGCTGATGTTTCCTAATAATTGCCCACCACCTCCCACACCTTTTCCAGCCTTTTCAACGCCTTTTGCTGCCTCTGTTACTCTCGCTAAGTCGCTTTTATCAGGTGCGTGTCCAAAAAAGACATGTCAATATAATATCAGATACGACGGCAGTGTCCCAAAGCTTGCTGTCCTGGGATGAGTTCGCTCTGAATCTCCAATAGGCTATATCAGCTCTCGGTATCGGTATTGAGAGACTCAATCCCGTCAGAACGAGAGCTTGCCTTGCCCTTTCTGAGTAATCCCAATCCTCGTCCGATCTTTGGGGCACCCTTCCTTTACCTCACCATCTCATGTGAGCAATAGCCAACAAGAATACAAATGACGAACAATATCAGTAGAACAAATTTACTGTTCAACCGTTGCTACACTGTATTGTTTGTTTATCTGCCATCTTGGCTTTTTATTTTGGATGTGTGCGCGTCTTCCGAGACGACCTTGTCTTTAAAGAGATTCGTTCAGTCCAACAGCCGCTGCCCCTGCAGCACAAGTTTCTTGGATGGCTTGGAAAGTTGGACTGGCTTGATGGATGGCCATCCGAAGCAAAGCATTTGTGTGAGGTGGCTACTTCTCCAGTACTTTCTCCATGCTACTACGTAGCTGTGTAAGCTGAGTATACTCTTGGTAGCGCCAGCCTTTCCCCGTTGGTACGTTATGATCTGCGCATCTCTCGCGCCGTTGCAATCGGGGGTAGATCTTTTCGACCCCTGGTGCCCTTCCCCCTTTTCCCAACTCAAAGAAGGCCGGCCGGCCGCCCGCAGACCCGGCGTTACGCCGCCTGTCTGTTGGTTTGGTTGCACCCGGGTTCGGGGGACAACGGCACCGAGGCCGGTTTCTTCACTCATCGCCGGGGCTCAGCAGTCACTACGTTTCTGTCTTTAGGTTCGATCAGTCTTGGGTTCGGTCAGTTTGCTCCGAATGCCATCGTTGCTTTTCACATGGAGTCTTCTTGGGTCTCAAATTGCCCTCCTGGTATGCCTGGCACGCTTGGATCCTATTTTTACCAGCCTCGGACCAAGCACCGTTCGGTGTCTTGGTGCGGATGAACTGGAATGCAACCCAGGCCTTTTATATCGGCTGCCCCAATTGCTCTGTGCATGCTGAGCCACAAGCAGAAATGTCGCAGCTCGCTGCACGTATCGTGATGAGAGCGTGCTGAAAACAGATGAGCAGGACCCATCATATTTTTACTCGACGTTTGATGAGGTATCTTCGCGGTGTTCTACTCTCAATATCAACTCGGACTTTGCTTTGCTTGATTGATCAAGCCTATTTCAAGGGACACATTATACCACCTCCAGAGCTGAGTAACCAGACACTGTCCGTTCATCCCTCTCATACCGACATACGACACTACTTAATGCTGTTCCTGATATATGCTGCTTGAGACGGGGAGATTGTTGTGCCCGGAGGGTTTAAGTCGAAGCGCCAGACGAATACCTGGTTCGCATCTTTAAGCCCTCTGTTGGAAAATGACATCCAAGTCCTAGCGTAAATAAATCAAGACCTGGTCAGTTGAGGCTTTAAAGCCCCAATACCTCACATTGACACGTGCATTCTCGGCAGACCAGCCAAGTGGAGGAGCGACAGCCTCCGAAAAATTGGCATGCCATGTGTTGGCAGTGACTGAGTTGTTTGACGTGAGCCAGAGACACCGTCTGGTAATCACAAATCTGTTATGAGAGGGCAGTATTTCACAGGCTTCTGCCTGAGAAATTGCTGTTGAGGAAGGCATTACTTCCCGAGAGGTTACGAAGAAAAGTTCTCTTGACATATCACTGGCCAGAGTCACCGACTTTCGCGCATCATCAATACTGCACACATTCATTGATATTGTGGAGTGGAAACGATAATCTAGTAATACCTAAGGCTCCAGTCTGTAGAAGCCCTGTTGCTAAGGTATCGAGAGTCCACTTGTTTGACGCTGAATGCTGTCATAAATCTCCAGTACGTAAAGTGTTATCACGTAAGAAGATGGAATCCTCCTTTGCCAAACGTACAGTCGCGAAAGGTACCTTAAGGTATACAACATTGATGTAGCAGCAAGAGTACATAGTAAGACTAGCACATTATCTTACAGATACTCCTCCATAATCTGATTGTGTTTATTTGTGGCAGGTATCAGGGAAGCATAATGATTGTGTTGGCCTGCCTGCCTGCCCCTTACCTTAGGTAATGGAAGGTAAAGGCAGAATTGGTTTCCAGAAGCGAGTGGAAGATTGAGGTTTATTAGGCAGGTACCTAAGGTACCTAGGGAGTGAAGCACTGTGTGTCGGATGGATGGTCGCATCTGGCCGCCTTGCGGTGCAGTACGTACCATCAACAAAGATGCTGATGATGCCGCCTCCCCACTGCCGCCTGCGTCCCGCCAACAAAATTTAAGTTGAACCGTGCACTCTCCTCCCCGCTATCCTCCCGTCATAGGTACTGCGTAGCAAACAACCGCGGTCACTGTGTCTTCAGATCGTTTGCACTATATAAAAGGTGGATTAACACGATTATTAAACAGTGCGAAACCGGGGAGGTGTTCAGCCCGGCAACTGCCCGCCTGCTCCTCCCACCTTGGGTTGTCTGACCGCTCGCAAGGCGGCAGACCACCACACGTCCATGACCTCCAACCAAACAGTGACTGAGCCGCACCTTACGCCTGGCAAGCTGGCAAAGCTACCTCTACCTACCTTGCTATTACGCAAAGGGCCCACTGTAACCGCACCTACCTTTCCTTGCCGATTTGACATCTGCAACTTCTTTTTCCACCTCACTCTCCAACATCCCATCCCGCCTTCCGCCTTCCACCTCACCTTCAACACCAGGCACTCGTTGCGATCGACGGCTTGATCTCACCGCCTGCTACTTGCGAGGATTTTTACGAACTTGAATCTGAGCGACACGCACTTTTAACACGACGACCCGAACAGACATTGCTTGGCAAAGCTATTGTCACGGAAGCCCGTGAGGACGACCTGCACCCGGCCTCGCACTTCTGTGCCTTTTTACCCCAAGCTTTCTCGTCATCAACTGGTCGATTTCTTTTCACTCTTTGACCACACACCAGATCGTCGACCTCTTCTTCTACACGACTGTACAATAACGTAAAAGGATACCCTCTTCTGCGACGCGTCCGTTCCGTTTGCGCAAACGTCTACGAGATACCCTGCTGCGCTATCTAGCTAGACCTTCAATTTCCGACGCGGGCTAGCTAGCAAGGCTGCACATATGAACCTGCGGCCCTGCCGCGCTCGCCCACGATGGGGAAGATAACGAAGCAGATGCAGCCCAAGCATGCCGAGACTCTGGTAAGCCATATCTCTGCCTGTTCTTCTTTTTTTCTTCTCTCTCTTCTTCTTCTTCTTCATTCTCTTGTATAAATCAGGCCAGTGTCACTAATCATTTTTCTAGTCTCCATGGCTCAAGGATTTTGTCACATCGGCATGCTCCGCACCCTTGCCTCTCCTTCCAGACCACCTCCACAAGTTCCCGACAAGATGGCCTTACCCGAGAGGTGATTTATACCACTGGATCCCTCTTCTTAACCGATTCGACGATATCTTGGACTGCTTCTGCAACACCTACAACCTGGAACAGGGCCCTCAGAACCGCGACTTCGGCTGCGATCTGCTCCTCAACCAAGGCGCCAAGACCGAGCAATACGGTGATCAGACCTGGAACAATGATGGTCTTGTCAAGTTGGGCTACAATGCAGACGGAGATAGGCAGCTGATCGAGGCTGTCCTCAAGTTCACCCGTATACTCCTACAGCACTGTGGCAACCGAAGCATCTACTCTAGCAGCATGGTCCTGAATAAGTTGCTCAACACTACAGTTCTGTCGCTTCTTCTTGCAACTCTGCAGGTCAGCGCCGAGTTGGCCCAGCGCTACCAAGCTTCCGTCAAGAGAATAGGAAGCGCCTCCCGCACAGTGAGCACTGCGCTGTTGAGCAATCACTACCAGATCGACCTCGACCGCGTGAACAGTGTCGCTCTGCCCTTCGCCAAGACCCCGATCGTCAGTCTTTCAGACTCATTGGCTACTGTTACGCCCACGTCGAGTGTCAAGGGCAAGGAAAAGCCTCAGGCGCCGAGCCATAAAAACGCCGCAGCTATGTTTGCCAATGACTTGGGGTCCATTCTTACACCCGACAATGGGCGCTGGAACGGATGGGGAGATATCAAAATCACCTATACCGTGGCCTCGACCGCAAAGGACCACCCTGTCTCGACAGCTCATGATCGCATTGGTTCCAACATGCCCTCTACACCGACCCCTCTGAGGCGCAGCACGACAGCCGGCTCTCAGCATAACACTCCAAGATCCGCTCGTCAGGCCGGCGTTGACGAGGCTTCGCCATTGAGTACACGAAGCCCCATCGTTGCCAATGACCATACCAAATCGAGCCAGCGAATCTTCGATTTGCCGCAATCAGTCGTTGCCTCCACACCCATCTACGAGCTCCTTGCACGATGTCCTGCGGATATGCCCGCCTCAGCCAAATATGAGATTCTCAATCGTCTGAGAGTAGCCAAGGCTCTTCTTGGGGGTGCGGAGTCTAGACAGGAAGCACTTGCCGTCCGTCTACTCGCCATCACAAATCTGGCCTTCATCCACCCGGAGACAACCTTCGTCGAGAAGGTTCTGCGTCATGACAACGACGAAACACGACGCTATCAGTTGGCTTACCAATTGGCGGAACTCATTCACCCCCCAGCCGATGGTTCCATTCAAGTGCCGCTTTGGCTTCAGTCAATTGTCTTGGGCCTTCTTGAGGTCATCTCAAACTATGCTGCGAGATACCAAGATGTTTTGTCGGCCCTAAATGCGAATGTCAACCACGGAATTCTCTTGTACGTCATACGAAAGGCCGTCGCAGGGATGAAGACCAGTGAACCCGACCGCGGTATTCATACCACAGAAGTCGACGAGTGGCGTACCAGTCTTTTCTCTTTGACGACTCACCTAGCCATGTCCACTAGAATCGGGGCTGAGATGGTGACGGCCGGACTGATGGATATCTTGGTGGAGATTCTCAAAATCAGGTCCGATGTCGCCCAGCGCAATCAGTCCATGATTCTGGCCTTCCTCGACGGACTGATTTGGACGTATCAGAATGCGTTCCAGTCATTCTTCAGCGGATCGGGTCTTGATGCCATCTCCGAACTCCTCGTCACGACGGTGGCCGAATCGAAGCAACTTGTGCAAGATGGACAGGGCAACACACCTGAACACTATTGCCAGGTTGTTGATTATGAGATCCCCTACAACCAACAACAGACCCTGAAATGGGTTCTTAAGTTTGTCCATCACATGATGACAAACTCTTACACCTATGGCGGAAACACTGATCGACTTCTCCGTAACCTCGTTGACAAATCGGAGCTGTTGGCCAGCTTGCGAGACATTATGCAGAATACTAAGCGTTATGGATCCGTCTTGTGGACGACTACTGTCACGGTGCTCAGCGACTTTATCAACAACGATCCTACAAGCTTCGCTGCCATTTCAGAATCGGGAATCATCGTCGCCTATTTGGAGGCCATCACTGGCCATCCAGTCACCTCTCAGCCCACCATTTCGCCTTCGCAGGACGCTGAGGAGCAAGCGGCAGACACCGCTGACCTTGGTGACAATAACGGCGAGAACGGCACCAATCGAGACAACAGAGACCGCGACGATGATAACGAAGGCAGCCCTGAATCCTCTAATGCTTCCATTCAGATCGAGGCCGATACTCGGCTTCACCCGCCTCCCGAGGAAGAAATTGCCCAATCACATGAGCGTCGCCCCCTGGCCCAGGGCATCTTGCCAACATCCGACGCCATCAACGTTGTCCCGCAAGTTCTCAACTCCATTTGCCTGAATAATGCAGGCATGAAGATGGTGGCCTCCTCTCGCGCCCTTGAGTCGTTCCTTGAAATTTTCGAGAGTCCTGCCCACGTCAATACCATGGAAACCGACCCTCATCTCGCTAGCAATGTGGGTGCTAGCTTTGATGAACTCGCCCGGCACCATCCTAACTTGAGGCGTCCGATCTCCAACGCTGTGATCGACATGGTTGCTAGGGTGAGGTCCTTCGGTATCTACAAGGCCAAGACTGCTAGTTGGGGCGCAAAACTGTACATCAGTGATGGTTCACAGAACCCCCCTTCAGCGGATGAGAAGTACAAGGACCTGGTTCTGCATTCACCCACTGATTCCGCTACGGAAAGTAAAGGAAAGGGGAGAGGCGACAATCTTGACGTCGAAATGTCAGACGCTACGGAAACTACGACGCAGAAGGGAACTCTGGGTGCCGATGAGTCGTCCACGTCTGCAACAGCCTACAACGACATTACGCCTTACGTCTATGCCTTATCAAGCTTCCTCTCAGCTTACCTCAACAACAATACGCTCAAGGCTTACTTCATTACCCACGGAGGCCTTGAGCTACTGCTAGACGTTGCAGAACTGCCCAGTCTGCCACACGACTTTTGCGACTCTCATGCGGCCCGAACGCTACATCTAGTCATTTCTCAGCTCGTTGAGCAGTCTCCGGTTCTCGGCTTGCCCTCCCTACTCAGGCGCGCACAGGCTTCGGTCGATACACTCAAACCTTTGGCCGACTACAAGAATGACTCTCCCTACTTTCACCCTTTCCTCGGCCTCGACGGCAGATTGACCCTCGATGAAGTCCGCAGCCTCGACCCTTCGGTGCAAGAACGCATCTTCAATGGCAATAAAATGGTCAAGGCACTACTTACTGCGCAGTCGCTGATCAAGACACTGTATGAGTGTTTCACATCTTCACCGCGCTCCAACTCAGTTCAGTTGTATCCCATCAATGTCTTTGACTACTATCTCGAACTAGTCAAATCACTGGGGCCGCTTTTGAAGGCCGTCCTGGCAGAAGAGGGTGCAGGACATAATGTGCTGCCTCAACACTGGTGGGCTAAGCGACCAGCTCCTGGTAGTGACGTTATGGTTTCCATCAGCGGAGCCGCTGGAGTTCAGAGTGTCGGCGAGGGCGAAGGCGAGAACGAGGTGGCATCAGCCCCGGCCGAGCCGTCGGATCCTGCGTCTGGCGCTGTGCCTGCTACAGCTCCTGGCACTCAGCTCAAGATGCCAACCAAACAAGAACAAGCAACGTTCCGGTACAAAAACTACGAGACCCTTCGTATCCTACTCCACTCAATGGTTCCCTCGACCTTTCCCTTCTTCCAGCAACTTGGCAAAGCTCTCTTCCCAAGACGTGAACGCGATGCTTATTCACGTCCGAAGCACATTGATATTGCCAGAGAGTTGTCGGGGACGATCCTGGCGCAGCTGGCCCCTTCAGTTGACCCTGCTGAGCCTACAGGCAAGGAGTATCACTACTGGATCATTATGCTTCACACATTGACAGAAATGTTGATGGATAACACTCGAGCTTCAGGGGAACGTTCATCGGTCCAGGTCGTTATCCCGGTGCTTGTCGCTTTCCTGGATCAGGGTGGTTTCCAAGTTCTCACGACCATGGTGCGTCGATTTTCGGCCGAGATCTGCAAAGACGCTGGAGACTCAGACGTCGGTGCCACTGCTAGCGCTCGTGTTGCCTCGTTCGGCCTCGGAAAAATCTTCGAGTTCTTTGCTGCTCTCGTCAACGGTAAGAACATTTCCGACTCGACCGCGCAGTTTGGTCTCCTGCCTCGTTCGGCTGAGAGACGCCCGGATACCCCGATATCTCACCAAATTGTCGTTGAAGTGCGAATGGCTGTTCTCCCGGTCATCCGTGAGATTTGGGAGTCTACGTTGATTGAGAAGTTGCGACCAGAGGCAGTAGCAAAGGTGATTGAGATCCTCAAGATCATATCTGCAGGTGATCAAGAACCATCTCGGAACACGCCAGCTGTTGAGCTGTTCAAGAAATCGACAGTCTTGTTCAACTGGCAGGCCCATACCCCTCTCATCGGTCTGCTTGAGGAGGATGGAGCTGACGTCGAGTTGGCTCGCGAAGCTGTCTTCAGAGCCAACTGGAACCAACCTTCGGCGACGGAGTATTGCCGTTCTCACAAGGCTGGTAAAGCCGGCCAAAGGAACCCGGTTCCGCCCGAAGATGCTTACCATCCCGAACGCCCTGAGCCAACAAACCCTGCCAGTCAGCCGGACAATACGGCACCGGTACCTGCTGCACCCGCTGATGCCGATGCCATGGCGGTTGACGTGGCGCCGGAATTCGTTACTCCTGAATTGGATCGTCTGCTTGGCGATGCTGAACAGGGCGACTTGGGGAACAGAGCATCTGCTGAGTGGAATGGCAACAGCGACGGACGTCCTGCTGTAGCTGACGAAGCTCAAGTGAGGCCCAATACCTCTACACCAGCAGCTACTACCGAAGAACAGGCACGTGCTAGCACCGAAACTCAGATGACGAGCAAGGAGAAACTCGATGAGGAACGATCAAAGTTGCGAGACAATCTCATCGATAGGTCTCTCGACGTTGTCAGGGCTCATCCCCACTCGGCTATCGAGCTGTCAGAGCTCATTAGCGCCATGGTATTCCGCCAGCCGAATGACGAGGCTCGGGATGAGGTCGGTGCGACTCTGGCAAATGCGTTGACCTCCCTGTCATTCGACGACAGCGATTCCAAGTCGAATGGCACTAGCATTGCTGCTTATGCCCATCTTCTGGCTCTGCTTATGCAGGAGAAGAGTTTCTTCAAATGCAATATCGACACTCTGAGAGAGAAGGTGGACGAGTACATATCTTTCCTCGACTTGAAGGGATCGTCGACTTCAAACAAAGAGCTCCCTCCCTGGATCCCGTATATCCTGTTGATCGTCGAGCTTCTGCTGTCATACGATGAGCAGCCCATAGAAGCGCAATGGAAACCTCCAAGCAATGACAACGAGACGATCGCTCCTGCTGTGCTTCCTCAACGTAACTTGATTGTTTCCGATGAACAGCGAAATAGGCTTCTGGATGTAATTCTGGAGCTACTTCCCGGCCTCGGGAAGGAGGAGACACTCGCGACCTCTGTACTTCGTGTCATCGTCATCTTGACACGTAAACCCGCCATGGCGCAAAAGGTTGGAGACAAGCATAACCTTGGGAGATTGTTTGCCATGGCCAAGCAGCTTGCGGGTGTTGGTTCAGCACGATTGAAAGAAAGCAAGACGACAGGCAGCATCATGTCTATCCTGAGACACATTGTCGAAGACGAGGAGACATTGAAGCAAATCATGCGAGCTGAGATTCGCAACCTGTTTGACAACCCCCAACGAACTCAGAGAAACCTGGATCTCAGCACGTACTTGCGTAACATGGCACCTCTTGCTCTGCGATCCCCGGATCTATTTGTCGAGATTACCAATGAGATGACCAAGTTGTCTCGTTGGACTCCTGGAAGCGAGGGTACCAGCCGTGCCCAGCAATTGGCACTCAAGGAGCCCGAATCTGATTCCAAGACTAAAGCCCACGAGGAAGAGGCGAGCGTCGAGCCCGCTGTCCAGGCCACGGAGGACCTGTCGATCCATGATGTCAAGCAATCCACAGAAACGGACGACAAGGAAATGGCAGACGCGCCTAAGCAAGTGGCCGAGCTGAAACGACCTGTTGTCGAGAATCCACATGGCATCATTTACTTCCTCCTGTGCGAGCTGCTCAAATTCAGAGAAGTCGATGACAATGAGCCTCCCCAGGCCCCGAAGGACACGGAGAACATTGCGCCATCAGGAATCACCCCCACAGAGAGCGCTTCCAAAGAGGCAACGCCAGACAACCAGGATGCAGCCGAAAATAAGGACAAGGATAAAAAGTCCACAAAGCCGGTTTTCAGGGCCGAGGATCATCCGCACTTCATCTACCGGTGCTTCCTGCTCAATTGCCTCGCAGAGCTCCTCCAGAGTTACAATCAGACCAAGGTGGAGTTCATCAACTTCAAGCGTAGCGTCTCTTTGCAAACGAATACGCCCGTCAAGCCTCGATCGAATGTACTCAACTATCTCATCCACGACCTCTTGTGCCAAGGCAACCTCAGCGACAACGCAGACAGCATTGTATCAAAGAAGAAAGCCGCCACCTCTGCTCAAGCTCAGCAAGTTCTCGTTGCGCTTGTAGCAAAGACAGGGGAAAGGGTCATTGACAAGAGCCGAGACCGCTTCGAATACGACGACGAGCCCGATCTGCTTTTTGTTCGGAAATTTGTCTTGGACACTATTCTCAAGGCATACGAGCGTGCCGCCACACCCGAAGAGCCTGTTGATACTCGCTACCTGAAGATGCAGTGTCTCGCTGAGTTGATGAACCACATCATCGGCGAGAAGGACAAAGAAACAACATCTCAACGCGCACTTGACTCCCCGCAAGGACGATCGCAAGCACAGTTACGCAGAATGATGTACGAGAAGGGCTACCTCGACAAGTTGACGTCCTCTATTGCCGAGGTCGACCTGAGCCATGCTGGCGTCAAGAGGGCTATTAAGTATGTTCTCAGAGTTCTGCGTGTTCTGACAGATACCGCCAAGGAATTGAGCCGCTCTCATGTCCTTCCCTCGACATCTCTTCCCGAAAACGCCGAAGACGACATCATCTCCACATCTTCAATGTCTGACATGGACGACGATCGCGAAGAAACGCCGGATCTCTATCGTAACTCTACTCTTGGCATGCTCGAGCCTCGTGGAAGCGATGATGAGTCCGACGACGAGGACGGTATGTATCACGCACTAAACTTGGCTTACATGCCATTACTAACTCAAGGTGTAGAGGACGACGACGAGGAGATGTACGATGACGACTATGGCGACGAGCTTGATTATGGCGAAGAAGAAGTATCTGATGATGGCGAGGATGGCGTTAGTGACGAAGACGAAGAATTGGGTGAAATGGGTCACATTGAGGGTCTTCATGGAGATCCTGGTGTCGTTGAGGTCATCATGGGAGACGAAGATGACGACATGGATGAGGATGATGACGATAGCGAGGATGACGAAATGGATTCCGACGACATGGATGAGATGGATGAACACCTCGACGTTGTGGAAGAGATTGTCGACGAAGACGGTAATCCTCTCGAGGACGATGGTGCCTCGGATTGGGAGAGTGAATCAGAGGAAGAGGAAGAGGAAGACGATGAAGACATTGATTATGAGGCCGAAGCTCAGGACCACGAAGAGGCTCACGTTCATGGCATGGAATCCGAGGACATGATCGAAAATCTGGCCCGAGCAGTCATGGACCCCGAAGACTACGACGGCGACGACATGGATGATCTTGGAGATCACTACATTGATGACGGTCGTGATGAAGATGGTAGGTTCAAACAGCATGGCTTGTTTTTCTGGAGTATTCTGACACAAGGCGTAGACGATGAAGATGATGACGAAGACATGGAAGAAGACGAGCTCATCTATGACGAGGCCTACCCTCGTAAGTAGTTATCGATGTCTACGAACGCGGCGATTACTAACGCTCATCTAGATGACCACCAATCTTCCAACCTCCCTTCTGCCCTCGGATGGGATACTTTGGTCGTCGAGCCATTCGGAGGCCAGCCTCAACACGCTCATCGCCATCGTCATGGACACCGTAGCCCGTTCCCTCCCGGTTTCATGGTTGGCGGTGGCCGCGACCCTCTGGGCGGTATGTTCTCCAATAATGCAGTCTATCAGCAGAACGAACAGCTGACAGGTCCTGCAGATTTCCGAAGCTACTTCTCTCCCCGCCACAGACCGAATGCGGTGCCTAACAATGCCGACGACGGGGTCAATCCTCTTCTGCGCCGAAACGGCCAGGGCCGTGAAGCATCACCCCGCCCTGCGCCGGGTTCTGGTATGATTGGCTTGCGTCTGCCTCCTGAAATCTTTGGTCCAGGTGTACAGCATTTGTCTAACAGTCCAATCGCTATCCTGAACGATCTCGTCGCATCTCTTCCGGTCATGCGACACGGTCAATCTGCCGTCCACTTGTCCATAACTCAAAATGGACGCGGCGAAGTCAGGGAGTACCATGTCGCCCCTCGCGAATCTCGGGCAGACAGCCGTCGTGAGACGACTTATCACGAGCCCCAACAGGCCGTCGCCTTTGCCCCGGAATCGACATTCGAGCGTTACCAAGAAGAAGCTCGCATGGTTTTTGGCGGAGCTCACTTCATCGAGAAAGCACAGAAGCTCGTCAATATCCTTCTCTCCAAGCTGGTTCCCCCCGCAATGGAGTATGAGAAGAAGCTCAAAGCCGAAGAAGAGGAGCGGCGTAAGGTGCGAGAGGAGGAGCGTAGAAAGTTTGAAGAGGAAGCTCGGAAGCTCTTGGAGGCCAAGGAAGCCGCGGAAAAGGCGGCCCGTGAAAAGAAAGAAGCGGAAGAGCGCGAAGAACAAGAGCGTGTCGCTGCGGAAGCCGCTGCTGCTGCCGGAGAGCGTGATTTGGCATCAACCCAAGAAAGCCACACTGACAGTGCTGGCTCGCAAGCCATGGAAGGGGTCGAAACACAAGAGCCGTCTGCGGCCTTGACCGATAACGACACGGCAGACGACGCTAGTCGCGTCATGACAACTATCCGTGGCGAGGAAGTCGACGTCACTGAACTTGGCATTGACCCTGATTATTTGGCGGCTCTACCAGAGGAATTCAGAGAAGAGGTCATCGCACAAACGGTCAGCACCAGGAGATCTCAAGCTCGAGAAGAGGCTGCCACTGGCGAACAGGGTGAAGTCTTCCAAGAGTTCCTCGACGCCCTCCCGGAGGACCTGCGACTAGAAATAGTTCAACAAGAACGTCAGGATGCGCGCCGGCGAGAGAGAGATGAGCAGCGTCGCCAGGCAACAACCGCTGGCCAAGACCAGATCGCAGTGGACATGGACCCGGCAAGCATCCTATTGACGTTCCCTCCTGAATTGCGACAGCAGGTTCTCATGGATCAAGGAGAGGATATCATGGATCACTTGCCTCCTGAAATGGCCGCTCAGGCTCGTCTACTCGCCCAGCAACACAGCGCTCACCCTGCTGTCACGGGCAGAAGCCCTCCTGTCGTTGCTCGACGACCAGGTGCTCCGCCTGCCGAATCTGGAGAAAGCAATGAGAACAAGGTACAGCGGCGGACAGTGGTGCAGATGCTGGACAAGCCAGGCGTTGCTACTCTACTTCGGCTCATGTTCATTTCCCAAATCGGCTCCATCCGCAACTACCTTTTCAGTGTTCTGGCCGACGTCTGCGAAAACCGCCAAAATCGCCTCGAAGTCATTAGCACCATTCTCTTGATTCTACAAGAAGGAAGCACAGATATGGAAGCTGTTGAGCGCAGCTTCAGCCAACTCTCTGTGAAGGCCAAGAAATCCAAGGACAAGGACGCAGACCCCAAGACCCCTCAGAACCTTAAGCGGACTCTGACGTCGCTGAGCGCTGCTGTGCACCAGCAGTCCAACTCGGAGATATCACCACTCATGGTCGTCCACCAGTGCTTGGATCTGCTGCAAGATCTCTCCACCAAGAACCCTCACATCCCCATGCTCTTCCTGACCGAGCATGAGGCGGTCGGATCTTCCCTCAAGCGTACACTCAGCCGCAAGGGCAAGGCCAAGGACTCCAAGGCCCACAAGTATGCAATCAACTCACTCCTCACTCTTCTCGACAGAGATTTGGTAATGGAGAGCTCGGTGGTTATGGCTTACCTGGCCGACTTACTGAACAAGATCACTGTACCATTGGCTACCATGGAGCGACGCCGTCGGGAAGCTCTAGAGAAGGCTGCTCGGGATGCCAAGAAGAAGGCAGCGGAAAGTGCAGTGGAAGTCGATCCCGCTTCGACCTCAGCCGCCCAACCTGCTGAGGACGCAAACTTTGAGACTACCGCCGACGTGGAAGCCCAGGAGCCCAAGGGTGAAAGTGCCGAAACTGCCAAGACTACCGACAAGTCGACAACCCAGAAAGCACCTCGCCAAATGCAGGTTCCGATCATTCCCCCGCACAATCTTACCCTTGTGGTTAAGATCTTTGTTGCTCGGGAGTGCAGCTCCAAGACATTCCAAAACACGATTTCAGCTATCAAGAACTTGTCTGCTATTCCTGGCGCCAAGGCAACGTTCGGACAGGAATTGGTCCGCCAAGCTCGTGTGTTGAGTGAGAACATTGTCGCGGATCTCGATGAGCTGCTTCCTCATATTGAGAAGGCTACCTCGGGAACCGAGATTCAAGGTGTTGCGCTTGCCAAGTTTTCCCCCGGTGCTTCTGAGCAGAACAAGCTCCTCCGTGTTCTCACAGCCCTCGATCACTTATTCGACAACAAGAAGAAGAGTGACAAAGCGGACGAAGATGCCGAGACCAGTACAAACGAAAAGCAGGATCTCGTTACTTCACTATACCACAACTCGACCTTCTCCATGATGTGGGAGAAACTGAGCGCCTGTCTCAGCGCTATTCGTGAGCGGGAGAACATGGTTAACGTAGCGACGATCCTTCTGCCACTGATAGAATCTCTGATGGTCGTCTGCAAGAATACCGCTATGAACGACGACTCCCAGACTCAGAACCAGACAAGCAAGGAGATGCTGCTATCAAGCCCGCCCCCAGAGAATCGCATGGCCGGCCTTTTCTTCACCTTCACCGAGGACCACCGCCGAATCCTCAATGAGCTGGTTCGCAACAGTCCCAAGCTCATGTCCGGAACATTTTCGCTTCTGGTCAAGAATCCAAAGGTTCTCGAGTTCGACAACAAGCGCAATTATTTCAACCGCAGTGTTCACAGTCGTTCCAGTAACAATCAACGGCCGTCGTTCCCTGCCTTGCAGCTCTCGGTGCGTCGCGAGCATGTGTTCCACGACTCCTTCAAGTCGCTCTACTTCAAGACCGGCGACGAGATGAAGTATGGAAAGCTCAACATCCGCTTCCACAACGAGGAGGGTGTCGACGCCGGAGGTGTAACCCGCGAATGGTTCCAGGTCTTGTCCAGGCAAATGTTCGATGCCAACTATGCCCTCTTCATTCCGGTCTCCTCTGACCGCACCACATTCCACCCCAACAAGTTAAGTGGCATCAACGACGAGCATCTCATGTTCTTCAAGTTCATTGGCCGCATCATCGGAAAGGCCTTGTATGAGGGTCGAGTTCTCGACTGTTACTTCAGCCGCGCTGTGTACAAGCGTATTCTCGGCAAGTCGGTGTCCGTCAAGGACATGGAATCTTTCGATCCGGATTACTACAAGTCTTTGGTCTGGATGCTCGATAATGACATCACGGACATCATCACAGAGACATTCTCTGTGGAGGACGATGAGTTTGGCGTGACTCGTACCGTTGACCTTTGCCCCGGCGGTCGTGACATTGCCGTCACTGAGGAGAACAAGCATGACTATGTGAGATTGGTAGTGGAGCACAAGCTGCTTTCATCTGTTAAGGAACAGATGGAACACTTTTTGAAGGGTAAGTCAGATCCTCTAAGTGAACTGGAAAAAGAAGTCATTTTGCTAACTCATGTACTAGGATTCCATGATATCATTCCCGCGGATCTCATCTCCATTTTCAACGAGCAGGAACTGGAACTTCTCATCTCCGGCCTGCCCGACATTGACGTTGACGACTGGAAGAGCAACACGGAATACCACAACTATACTCCGTCATCACCGCAGATCCAATGGTTCTGGCGAGCAATCCGTTCATTCGACAAGGAAGAGCGCGCCAAGCTGTTGCAGTTCGTGACTGGAACCAGTAAGGTGCCTCTCAATGGATTCAAGGAGCTGGAGGGTATGAATGGTATCAACCGCTTCAACATCCACCGAGACTATGGCAACAAAGAGCGTCTCCCCAGTTCGCACACATGCTTCAACCGTACGTTATTCCTTGGCACCAAGTTTGAAATGCATGCGCTAACCGAATGTCGCAGAACTTGATCTTCCTGAATACGAGAACTACGAAATGCTTCGTCAACAACTCATGAAGGCCATCACAGCAGGAAGCGACTACTTCGGCTTTGCATAAGAAGGGAGCGAGCAAACATAGACAGTTTTGCGGTCACGTCAGCATTTGCATTATGGATGGTAGGCGACACAGGACATTGGAGCGGAGGTGACGGGCGTGATTTCTGAGTGGAAGGGCATTGTGAATAGATGCCGAACCACGTGTACATATGGCAACTCTCTCGGTCTTGGCCTAGGAAGTACCAGGTCAGGTCTGCTCGCGTTTATCCTCTTTCGATTTTTGGGGCCTTCACATCGAGAGTCGTCGGCTGGTTCCTTGCGGAGTGCAGGCCGCTTGGAACCACAGCTGGTTGAATGATGGTATGGAGGTCCAGTATGTAGAGTATCCAATTCGAAGCTCTTCAGATGATTATGAACAGAAGAATACCAAAGTAGAAAGTCCAAAGAAGCATTCTGTCTTGGTTCTGTGGCCTGCTATTGGGTTTTATGCCGTCAGCCACACCAGAAGTATTCGAAAAGGGTACCTTCATTGGCAGACTCGGCTATAGATAGCACGAAACTGGTGCATCCGGATCATGCATTGCAGTCATTGTAGGTGATGGTCCGATACTCGATCCGCTTCCAGTTCTATTGTCGAGATGGCTGTATCTAGTTCAAGATGTGCTCTTGTTATTACACAGTAGAAGGAGGCATTCTTTCTTAGGTAGGCATGTTGGCGCATTCGCCATTGGATAAGGTAGGTAGCCACTGTAGTCTGTAGCTAATACAGAGGCCAAAGTCTGCCAGTATAGCAAGAGCCGAGGACGGATCCATGCCTTTCCCCACATAATGTTGACCTCTCAGGGATTGCGGAACAATGCCGACAAGGCACTAGTTTTTTTTTCGTACTTTTTTTCCCAAGCAGTCTACTCCGATCCCAGCCGGTGCGAATATCCAAGTGGACAGGCACACGATAGACCCGACCCGGCCATTACTCACGGTGAAAGCTGTTCACAGACTCTTTGCTCTTGCAACCCCACGTAAAAGGGACCTCCGCTGTCTCACTCAACCGCATATCACCACCAAAAAGCCTTCCCAATCGACCTCGACCATAGTGTGTGTGACACCACCACACCGACCGACCGATAGCCATACCCCTCCATCGTGACCCCGCGCTGCGATTCGATTCGTCCAGACAAACCCGACCGTACCTTAGCCTGCCAAACCTCAGCAAGGTGCCGCAGCAGCAGCAGCAACCCTTTATATTCGGCCGACTGCCCCTCCTCGAGATCCTTCTTTCGTTTTTTTCCTCCCCTCGTCGTCACACATCGACCGGCCTCATGGGGGATATGGCAAACGACATCAAGCTCCTCAAGGGCAGCAGCCATGGGGAATTGTCCGAGAAGGTCGCTCAGCGGTATGATCCTCTGTGGTATAGAGGAATGTACAAGAAGAAGCGGTCGCTGACGTAGAGTTGCAAAAATCGCAGACTGGGCATTCCCCTTGCGAAGACCATGAGGTAGGCAACAAACTCTCTCCAAGACCTGCCCTTCGGGCGCAGGCGTGACATTCTTTGGAGAACAGTCCAATTGACCGCTGACTTTTTTGCGCCTTTACAGCTTGAACTACTCCAACCAAGAGACGAGGTTAGCGAACAGTCTCTCGAACCCTGGCAGGCTCCGATCGTTGAGTGGCATGTAAAGCTGACTTCCCTACTGTGTCACCGTTGGCGAGAGCGTCCGCGACGAGGATGTTTTCATCGTCCAGTCCAGCGAGCCCGGCAACATTAACGACGGGCTCATGGAGCTTCTCATCATGATCCACGCCTGCAGAACCGCGTCTGCCCGCCGAATCACCGCCGTCATCCGTCAGTCTACCCAACTCCGTCTCCGAAAGATCTATAAGGATGTCGCAGTGCTGAGGAGGACCGCTCGCTGACTGGAGATACACGCACAGCTTGCTTCCCGTACGCTAGACAGGACAAGAAGGATAAGAGTCGTGCTCCGATTAGTGCCAAGCTTGTCGCGAATATGTTACAAGTTTCCGGCTGCGTAAGTCTCTGGAATTTCTTGCGGAGGGAGGAAAGAGAGACGAAGCATAGAGAGGGGGAATCTCGAGCTGACTTCACGGGCGCATCACAGAACCACGTCATCACGATGGACCTTCACGCCTCGCAGATCCAGGGATTCTTCAATATCCCCGTCGACAACCTGTACGCCGAGCCGAGTGTCCTTCAGTGGATCAGACAGAACATGAATGTCGAGGACTGCGTCATTGTCAGTCCCGATGCGGGCGGCGCCAAGCGTGCCACCGGTATTGCCGATCGCCTGGAGACTGGCTTCGCCCTCATTCACAAGGAGCGCCCGCGCCCCAACGTTGTCGGCCGCATGATTCTGGTCGGAGATGTAACTGACAAGATTGCTATTCTGGTCGACGACATGGCTGACACTTGTGGCACCCTCGCCAAGTTCGTATAACCCTTGTGACGTGATGTTTGGCACCGCTAACAGATGCAACAGGGCTGCGGAGACTCTCGAGACCGGCGGCGCGCGTGAAGGTACGTCATCCTTGCTTTCTCCATAATGTGAAGAGTCGCACACTGACAAAAACAAAACAGTCATTGCCATCGTCACCCACGGCGTCCTCAGCGGTAACGCCGTCGAGACGCTCAACAAGAGCTGCCTATCTCGCGTCGTCGTCACCAACACGGTGCCCCTCGGCGACAAGATTGAGCGCTGCCCCAAGCTGCGCGTCATCGACATCAGCCAGGTCCTGGGCGAGGCCATCCGCCGCACCCACAACGGCGAGAGCGTCAGCTACCTCTTCAACCACGTTCCCGTCTAGAGAGGGGTTGCGTGATGGAGGGTTTTAAAAGTTTCGAGTAGCAATTCTAGCAGCAGCAGAAGCAGCAGCAGCTATAGCCTCGAGGGTTTCCATGGTATATTGGTGGGGGTTTTCCTTTTCCAAATAGGGTGGGCGTACGGTACAAACGGGCATTTTGCGGGTTTCCTTTTTTACCGGCAGGAAGACCTGCTTTTAGAGAAAAGTTCGGGTTAACCGGCAGACTCAAAACATAAGAACGAAATTGACTCTCTATGAAATCGCTTACGTGTATATATGATACCTATATTATTCCATACGTGAGGCGTGACATACTTTATCTCTACGGTCAGTCAGCTGCGCCAAAGATTTACAGGGTCCGGTGGGTCTGCCTTGATGCCAGCTCCAGACCGAAAAGCGATAGCCCCCGCTCTGGAAGAAAACGAAAATCTAGACAGTCTAACCCCAGAATCTTGGGCGGGGCAGGGCTGATAGAAGTCTTGCCTCAAGAGGCTCATACTCCAGTAATGTGTTCCGAAGCTTACTACGAAGATGCGGTTAACGATAGACTGATTGGCAGGTTGACATTTGGCACGAGCAAGATATCAATCTCTTTTTTTTAGAACATCATAAAACAATTGCTGGTGGTATTTCGCGTGTCAAAAGGATGTGCATTTCCATTTTTGAATGCCCTATTACATTCATGATGTTGACTGAAAACTTGTTTCATGACATGAGTTCCCAGTGCCCCATTTCCCTCTTTCCACGCCAATGCAAGAAAACCAGAAGACCCGAGTAATCTTTCACTTTTTTCATGATTCCCAACGCAACACCGCCGCCATGACGACAAGTTTACTTGCGCATGGAAGAGGCACGGCGCTTGCGGAGCTCGGCCTTCTCGGTCTTGCGCTCGGCAACACGCTTGGCAAGGACCTGGGCGTATTCGTTCTAGAGAGGAAGTTAGTATGACTTGAAGCATCGAGATGAGATATGTGATTGGTAAACGTACGGCCTCGTCCTTGACCTTCTCGGCCTGGCGGCGCTTGAGGGCAATGCGGTGGCGCTTGTGCTGGAGACGCTGGGGGGTAACGAGTCTCTGGATCTTGGGAGCCTTGGTGTAAGGCTTCTTGCCCTCGCCCTTGGGCTGGACCTCGCGGCGAATGACGTACTTGCGGACCTGTAAGTTGCAGCAAAGAATGCCTTGTTAGCCACTTGCAAAGGGTTTCTGTGATGTGTATAGCATTGGGATTAAAGCCCGACACATGTCCCCACCTCTCCCTTCTTCCTATCTCTCTCTCGCTCTCTGATATATCTGGCGCACTTTCTCAAGGCATTCAACAGATATCGTCTGCTGAAAGAAGAAGTTCGAAGGCAGAGGGGAAACACGGTCCCGTCTCTCACACTCTACCTGGTCTGCTCGACCCTCCGCCGCAGAACCAGGTAGGCGATGACGAAGTGGCTGTTGGAAGGGTGGACCGCAACAGGGAGCACACATACATCGTCATCCTTGGTGAGGCTGAAGAACTTGCGGATCTTGGTGGCGCGCTTGGGGCCGAGGCGCTTGGGGTGGACGACGTCGGTGAGGCCGGGGATGTCGGCCTCGCCCTGCTTGACGATGGAGAGGGCGAGGACGGAGAGGTCCATGCCGACGATGCAGCCACGGACGGACTTGCGCTTGCGCTCACCGGTGCGGCGGGGGCGGTAGCAGGAGTGTCCCTCGGAGAGAAGGAGGCGGACACGGGTAGGGTGCATAACACCCTGCTTCATCGGGAAACCCTGCTTGTCGTTGCCTCCGGTGATGCGGAAGATGTAGCCCTTGAACTCGTCGCCGACGGAGTCACCGGGGACCTCAGCGCCCATGCGCTTCTCCATGAAGACGCGGAGCTTGCGCTCATCCTCAATGTCGATGAGCTTCTGGCTGCCATTGGCAGGGTAGGAGATGTTCAACTATTGTCAAAAATAAAATGTCAGCAACCTTGAACCTGATTTTTCCACCCCTCCAAATATTTCCAAATATTCGGCACGGTGATCAGATCGCCAGCGATTTCGAACTCGACGTCGTTGATATGGTAATTCCATCGTGTTCGATTGTATCGCTCTCGTCTGTCGGGACATGGTGTTATCGTACCTTCATCTTGCCGGCGTTGGGTGGTGCAAGTGTTGTCGACTGCGGCTGGGCGTTGGGCGTGGATTGTTCAATGGGAAGGAGGAAAAGCGGAAAGTTGCTCTTGAATTTTCGAGAATGTGTGCGTCGCTAGAGCCCTGCTGCGAAAAAAATCCTTGGGCCAATCACAGGCCGCTGGAAGTTCTGTCGGTGAGTTTTTCCATGGGCCGTGCTTAAACAGCCCCGGGTCACGTGTACGTCCTATTCAGGAAGGTACGCGGACCGGGATACGTACCCCCACCACAGCCGCCGTTTTCCGGGCAGGTTCAGATGGACGACTCCACTGTCATAGATCTCACGCTTCACGGTTCGCGATCAAGACACCCGTATATCACGAATAAACGTCGTTTCTGTCACCCAGGCAATCTCTCAATCACGGTTCTGTACCACATATATCGCCAACTGAAGTAGCACACGACACCTACTTGCGACAATGTCATCAGTCAAAATTCATCCTCCTACGAAGGGCTCATCAGCTTCAGATAGCCCATTGCCCCCGCTTATCAAGACACCCTCTGGACTCGCGCTGCTTGAGATGCAAGGAACCGTCAACGTACCTCACTTCAACCCCGATGAGGATCCCAGCTCAAAAGAGCCTGAGATCTCCATTGGCAAAGTGATATTCCCTGACTATCACCCTGAAACGCAGGAAGAGGGCAGCACGGCCTGGATGAAGCGCGTCTTCCTCTACGTTGGCCAGCACCAGAGACTGCAAGGCGAGGTCAAGAAGCTCCCGAAAGCCATGGCTATCATCCGGCGGAAGGGAGATGCCGCCACTGGCGGTGAAGGAGAGGCTGAGGAGGAGCTTGAGATTGCTGAGATCGTCAAGTACAAGATCATGTTTGGGAACCGGCCAGAGCCCGTTGGCACGGAAAACACATAGGAGATGTCTTCAGGATCAACGGTTCGAGGCTGCCGTGGCGATCTTTGAAGAACCACACCCACACCGAAGAGGCTTGTCATGTTGTGGCAAGAGGGCGAAGGGTTGCCAAGGGCGATAGCGATTGCGGCGTTCGTCTTGTCGTGTTGCCATGATTTTCGACTAGGAGAGCCATGACTGGCACGGTAGATCCCTTGCCGTCTCTCTTTCCCGTGACGCTTGTTCATTGCGGCGGCTCCGGTTCCATCAAGGCCGGTCATCAAAAGTAAGACTGGTATGCCACCTTCGTCAGCCTGTGGCAGATCACCTTTGAGTCAAATGCTCTCAGCAAAGGTTGCCAACCTCATATTCATCCCCGCTACATCTTGGACAGCGTGACCACCAGGGGCGCATCTCATAAGCTCGTATGTCTTTGCGACAGAATGACAACCAGCCCACAAATCATACGGCCGCGGTTCGAGGCATTGGTAGGCTGCGGTCAAAGCGACGAATGAGACGAGCATCAGTTTCCCCGGATCTTCGGCAGTTGCGTCTTTCTGACCAACATCATCCGAGTGCCGCAGATTCAACTTGTTATTTGAACAAGTCAGGTTGGCTCGAGTAGCATCAATGATCCGAACGTGTCGACTTATTCTGCCTAAGTACCTTGGTTGGGGGTGCTTCATGGTAGTTATTCTGATAATCAGCACCATTTGTTTGCTTGTTGAATAAGCCACAATAGGCAACTGGCGCTTGGTTTACGAGTCTTCCAATTTCGTGGCCGTCCTTCCGTCTCACCCTTTGGGTTGCGTGCTTGTTGGTCTCCTCTAGAGATGCAAGCCAACACGGGTTGCTTTGATGACATTTTAGTCGGAAGAATGAGACGCTACTTGCATTTAGGCATTTCTCCTCCAGAAGCGCATAATCAGAAGTCCCTGTGTCATCAAGAAATGAGACGATGAGGGATTTTGGAATGAGACGAACAACCGCACAAAATGTAATTCGCTGCCGCGAGGTTATTGAGAGACGACGGCCCGTCGTAACAAACACCTCCAAACATGCGTCGGCAAACATACAGTCAATCACAAGGTATGATATCATTGGTTTCACTATTCGCTCCAGGAGGCATTGCGCAGCAGCCTTAGTCGCCCTGTCAACCTGACCCCATCTGAGTTCCCTTATGAGGAACCTCGCGGGTCTTACAAACCAGGCTGGCTGAAGTGGTTATCAAAACTAGCGATACTATGCCCATTGACTTCGTTATTGTTGATGGGATTTATTCATATCGATGACCAGTTCAATTTTGAACAAATAAGCGTTCCAAGCAACCTCATCCCATTGTGGCATCATCGCCGTCAAAGACTATCATGGATAGCCTCGGCTCTCGCCGAATGCTCGGCCAAACAAATGGACTTAACAGCGGTCTCGACAATCTCCGTAGAGGTCGAAGTTGTTCTGACATTCAGGGATTCTCCACGCCTCCGCACCGGCCATGAGGGGAACTCTGGAGACTACCCGAGGAGGCTATTAGGATAAATGCTCACAATCCAACTCTAATTTAACCGCAGACAGCCTGATTGAACGATTCCCCATTCCGCCCCAGCAAAAGATGGGGGAGGTCACGCCAGGGACGATCCCTGAAAGCCGCTAATTAAGAGCACCATTGGTTCTATCCAACCGCGACCATCGCGTCTTTGGTTCTCACCGGAATGAGCTCCTCTTCCAGCGCACTTGTCCCGGTACCCACATCACGGGACTTGATCTTTGGATCCCGAAGCCCTTCCCTCTTCCAACCAACGCCGTGTCACCTAGGCTTGCAGGTCTTGGGACCAAGGCGCCGGTACATGGTCAAGCCGGGTTCATATCCCTTAGAGGACGTCACCCCACGGCGGCAGTCCTTGCTAGCTTAGTATCTCGGCACTGTTGCATTGGATGATCTGGAGATTGTTCTCGTCCGTCCGCCTGGAAAATTGGGGTAATCATGGGGAAACGTAGTCGCATCGCGGGCCGGATCTTGCATATATGAATTGTGTCGCCCTCGTGATGGAGTGTTCCTATTGACCTCATCCTCGTCCACGCCGGCCTCGGTCTTCCAAGATAGGTCGTCTCGTTTCCCGCCCAAGTTTCATTGTTACCGGACGGTCAAGATGCATATCCAATCACTCACCGTTCCCCTCTTGGCGGCGACCTTGCCCCTAGCCTCTGCTCAGCTTGACTACTACGCGAAGAAAGCAGGCTTGCTGTACTTTGGTGCCGCAACTGACTCCCCGGGACAGCGCGAGCGTGCTGGTCTGGAGGCATCTTACGAGCAATACGACGCCATCCTCGATGATATCAATGAGTTTGGCCAAACAACCCCGACTAATGGCCAAAAGGTTGGTGTTGAACTGGCGGCCCAAGAGCAAAACGCCTTAAGCTAACATCTCACTCAGTGGCTTTTCACCGAGCCCTCGCCGGGTGTCTTCAACTTCACAGAGGGTGATATCGTGACCTCCATCGCCGAAGAGAACGGCCAGATCCTTCGTTGCCACGCCCTTGTCTGGCACAGCCAACTTGCCCCCTGGGTTGAGAATACAACATGGACACCCGAGGAGCTCACCGAGGTGATCGTTAGACACATCCACGAGGTTGCCGGCCACTACAAAGGCAAGTGCTACGCCTGGGATGTCGTCAATGAGGCCCTCAACGAGGACGGCACATACCGCGAGTCCGTATTCTATAACGTTCTCGGCGAGGAGTACCTCAAGTTGGCCTTCCGCACCGCGGCTGAGGTCGACCCGGCGGCGAAGCTGTACTACAATGACTACAACCTCGAGTCGGTCGGTCCCAAGAGCGAGGGCGCCAAGCGCATCGTGAAGCTGCTCCAGGATGACGGCATCAGGGTTGACGGCATTGGCATGCAAGCTCACCTCGTAGCTGACAGGGCGCCTAGCCTGGACCAGCAAGTCGAGGTCATTCGCAGCTACGCCGAGCTCGGAGTCGAGGTTGCCCTCACAGAGCTGGATGTCCGCATCGAGCTCCCGGTCAATGAGACAAACCTGGCGTGGCAGAAGGAGGCGTACAAGAACGTAGGTTTACCGAGTTCGCCCCCATCTTGTGATGCATCGAAAGACGCTAACTCACTCGGGCTATAGTCTACCAGTGCCTGCGTTCAGGTAGCGGCTTGCATTGGTATCACGATCTGGGATTTCTACGACCCCTTTAGCTGGGTTCCCGCCGTCTTCCCGGGTGAGGGTGCTGCCCTTCTCTGGTTTGAGGACTTCAGCAAGCACCCGGCCTACGATGGCGTTCTCGAGGCATTGAAGAACACAACTGCGGCTCCCTGCAGAAGAAGACGGTCCTTGGGGTCTGGCAAGAGCAAGACGCTGTTTTAATTAGTTATATAAGCGAAGGGATGTCGGGCGAGCCTTGCACCAAGCGTTATTGTCGAAAGCTTAGCTGAAGCAAAGTAATGAGGGCAAGAGTCAGTTTGAATAGGCATTTAGCATAGCGTTTTTGGCATCAGCAATAGCTAACTCCGCCGTAATGGCAAGCCTCTTGACCTCTTGAAATAAATGAAGCCGTGTCTAATCTGATGTAGCCAATATCCAATAACAGCATGTTCAATCCAGCCCGTGCTTTGCAGACGACTTTCCTACTCGGCCTAGGTCAACTTGCACCGATCACCTTGGTTTTACATCAACAACAAGCTGACAGATTCAGCTTCGTATTTTCAGGTGCTAGCTATTCTTATAATAGTGCCAGAGAGCTTTCGGTCAAGGGGCACGAAACTCTCATTTGTGTTTCTAATTTGGTTCATTATTGTGAAACCTTCGCAGCCTATGGGAAAAGCACTGCCCCTATGTGCTCTTGACTCACATCGTCAGACAGTTGAGGATCCTCTTCATATAATGTCTCAGGTCGAAGATAGATCTCGCCGCTCGCACTCCGCATAAATAAAAGAGCCTTGAAGCCGCGTACTTCGTGCCCGTTAAAGTTCTTTTGTCGTCCACTCACAAACTCAACATTGAACTGTTGTATCCTCGTCGTCTCTGGCGGTAGGCCCGGGTATTCAGGATGTACCCCTGAAGTAACCCGACCCTCAATATCCAACTCCACCCCGTGTTCTATTTCAATGATTCTTCGAGCCAGGGCGCACATGCCGTCCCTATCCCATAAGTTCTCTTGGGGTGCAGCGAGAAGTTTGAGAAGACGCAGGGCCTCGAGTCGGGAACCCAGGTCCCTACACCGCTGTGCGCAGAAGAAGAGCGGCGCGATAAAGCCCATTTCAAAGGCGGGGCTCGTTTTGATTTCTGTGCTGTTTTGCTCAGCGGCGGCTTGCGCCGTCTCCTCGACGACTTTGCGGAACTCGTCGAGGAAGTTATCGTAGCCCATCTCGGAACGGACGAAAGCGTTGTTCAACCAGATCAGACAAATCCGATATCTCGCCAGAGCAAATACGCGCCCGAATCCCGAGCTTTTGGATGTCATTTGCCCCTCTCTGGCTTCGAGGTCTCTGAACATGCCGTACCACTGGTCCAATTGGCTCAAGACTGTATCCTGTTCCTCTAGGAGATCTGACGGTACTGGAATATCTTTCTTTTGCCCTATGCGATACGTGTCGCCGCGGCGGATAACTTGCATCGCTTGGTTGAAAACGTCGTCAATCATGGTTTCGGCTTCAGAGAAGGTGTTGAAAAAGTCCGGTATCGGGCATCTCGAAATGCTTAGATCGAGCATATCCGATGGTCCGCTCCCAAAGAAGAAGGGTAACGCGCTCAATCTTCGAAACAATGGTGTGAGGTATTGCCTCACCCACTTGTACGAGGTAGAATCGGAACTGGCGAGTATGGCAGTGCCGTGAGCGCAGTGACGGAGGGCAGTCTCCCGGTTGGACTGCAGGAATTCTATACAAATGAAGAGGAGACAAACCAACAACACCAGCCCCTGGTTCTCCATGGCGGTCAATTGGTTAATTGCAGCGTTGTAGTGACGCAAAGCGAGGGCGTTATCCTGGATCTGCTCGCTGCCCACGTCAAAGGGGCTATCCTGGACCCGGATGACGCCCTCGTACAGCGAGCTGATGGCGACGATGGAATGCCTCACCGCGGGCTCGTACCGGCTGAATTGCATGACGAGATGCGTCCAGAAGTAAGGATCGGTGGCGCCGGGCAATTTCGGCCCAACCATTTCGCAAAAGAACTGCAGCGCCCTGCTTTCCTGTCTGGTGATGCTCGGGAACATACTCTGGGCCCTGAGTAGCCGGGGCTGATCCAACGCGGCGGCTTGGGCCGGGTCCGCGTAGCCATCGCATATGCGGCCGGTGCTGGAGCACCGTATACACTCCGGCTTGGCTTCGTCGCACTTTACTTTTCGGACCCTGCTCCGGCGGTGGTGATTGTTAGGAAGGAACGTAAACCTTGCTGTATGGAGGGGGGTATGAATCTATGCGGGGTGCCTACTTGCAGGTGATACAGCCGGTCCTTGTCTTGCGACTGCCTTTGCGGGCCATCCTAATATGTGCGGAAACGAGAAGACGACCTGGGCGATCTCGCTCCTCGACGACGGAAGCCGATTGATAACGAGATGTGTTTCTCGTCTAGTTCCTTCCCCTCATTTGACTTAGGCAGCGAGCTGTTTGATGTGAGTCGGGAGTTGAAGGTTGAGGCTAAGCAATTGCCAGTGTAGTAGTTCTAACAGGAAGTTCCCCAGACCAGTCGACAAGAACCAACCAATCAGCGGAACGCATTCAAGACATGCCTGTTCTTGGCGACGTTGCGCACCAACGTAAACGGTGCCAATGGCCCTATTTGGAAGGATGCAGTGGTGAATCCTGGAGAGTGCTGGCGCTCCGGCCTCACCTTATCGCAAATAAGGTGAAGGAGAAGAGTGTTGGTGCGGGACTTCCAGGGATAAGTACGAACTCGCCAACGATGTCACCCCTGGAACTTTTGGGGCACACCAATAACCTCGAGTGGCAAGATTTCTGACCAGGTTTGAAAATGGGGTAGCGTTCGCCAGAATGAACATCCAACGAAATGATCGGATTCTTTGTAGGAAGTACGCATTTGGTTGGCAACCTCAGCCCTATCGTTGAAGACTCGTGTTTTCGAAAGGGAGTGGACAAAGGACACGGTTGAGATCCCTTAACCAGTACCGCATGCAGGTGGCACAGCGGTATTTAGCGTTGAATCAGCTGTCAAATGTACTAGCAGCAATACGAATGAGTTAATTAACTAGATGCAGCAGGTCTCAGGAAATTTGAAATGGCCATTACTCCTCTTTGTGATGTTTATTCGACGTCTCAATTTTACCAACATGTGATGATAGTCAAAATGTCAACCACCGCGTTCGGAGACAACGCTTTTGGTTGGTTGAGAATGAAGATTTAGTTCCTTTCAGTGAAGAAAGGGCGATACTCGAGGGACACGGAACAACGAGAAAGCAAAACATGAACATTGACAGCTCTAGACGTTGGGTGCATTGCCATCCTCCTATTAACAAATGTATCCATCAGGTACTTAAATAGGCACGGTTAGACATGTAACCTTTCAAATATCCAGCGAACAACACTCTTTCGTATAGGCGAGACGTATTTCTGAGGAACTCTAGGTCAGATGAATTTGAGCTGCGACGCCTGTATCCTCTCCACCGAGATAAGAAGCAGAGAAGAGGCTAATTTGAATCATTCCCTTATCCCAGATGTTTTATGAGATAAACCCCAATAACACTAGATTCAGTATCGAACTTGCAAAGTTATCATGTTCTAGGCCATGATCCCCCCGCAAAAGGAAGAATTCTCGCATTCTGGAGAAAACAGCCAGCTGATTGTGTAGATCAATATGGTGGCAAAGCAAGAACATGTCGTGTGACATATTCGTGTCTGGAGCATTCTGCAGATTGCATCGAAAAGAGGTATCATTGCGTGCTCATATATAAATCATAAACTTTTGTTATTGGTTTTTTTTGCCCCTCGACTTTTCCCTCAGGATGATCATGCCGATGCCTCAAGCTGGCCAGGCTTCACGCGTCCGAGACCGTCCTTTCCATAGTAGTCCATGGGATACACCCCCTTACCCCAATCATCGCGCACCTCTAGCGCGACCAACGCCTCGTACGGCGTCAACAGTGGCCGCGGGAAGGCGTAGCCCCAGTCGATGCTCAACCGCGGGCAAGCGACCTGCACCCAGCACTCGACGTCGCTCATCATGGCCAGCTTGCCCGGGAAGATCTCGCTCAGCAGCAGGTTCACCCACGGAATGCCGCGGTCCTTGAGCCGCTTCTCGATGAGGCCCATGGTGTGCGGGTTCCCCTGGCGGCCGAGCGAGCCCAGGATGAGACCCCACTTCTTGGCCGTCTTGGCCGTCCGGATGGCGGTCCGGCGCAGGTCCTGCATCTCGTCGTGGCCGTACGTCTCGCGCGTCAGCTTGCGCGAGTACGGGTCGTAGCGGTAGGCCGGGATGGTTGGGTTGTGGATCATGATGCTCTCGAGGTGGAAGCGGCCGTCGCCGAGGTAGAGGATCATGTCGACCTTTTCGTCGTCGTGGAGCTGCGGGCTCGTGCAGCCGAGGATCTCGCCCTTGCTCAGGGGCGCGATCTGCGGGACGAGGACCTTGAAGCCGGCCTTTTCGAGGGTGCCGCGCACGCCGTGGATGGTGGCGTTGAACTGGATGGTGCCGACGACGGCGACGGTCTTGCCCGAGGCGAAGTTGCGCTCGAGCGAGGCCAGGAGGTGGGAGGTGTCGATGCTGATGTCGACAAAGACGTAGAGGGTCTTGATCTTTGTCACGTCGACGGGGATGAGGCAGCTGTGGGCGTAGTGGACGAGCAGGTCGCAGCCCATGGCGCGGGCGGTGTAGTCGTCGATGCAGCAGGCGCCGTAGGTGACGTCGCCCATGATGAGGGTCTCGATACCAGGGCAGAACTCGGTGAGGATGTCGGAGACGGTGGTGGCGAAGAGGAGGAGGCCCTCAGGCATCTGCAGGGCGACCTTCTTGGCGCCCGAGGAGCGGATGCGGTGGATGGTTTTGTGAATTTCGAAGCTGTAGTTGGAGGGGAGGATGGAGATGGCGGACTTGAGTGCCGGATCATTGAGGATCTCGGGGGGTACTTGGTTCAGAAGGCGTGGGCCTCTTCTAGGTTGTGCGACTATGAGATGAGAATGAGCATTGTGTTGTTGCTTCTCATGTAAGGCGTCATGCGTTCTCACCTTGGATGGACTTGCTGTCCTCGATGGACCCGTTCGGGCCTCCATTCTTGGTCGCAGTCTCGGCTGCTGTTCTTCTTCCGACGAAGCGCTTCTTTGGTTGCTTCAATACTGGTTGAGCCGCAGCCTCCTCCTGGCGATGAGCCTCTTCAATGTCGGCGGCGATGCCCAAGTCGGTTTGCGCCCGATCTTCCTCCATCGCTGAGACACTTATTCTGCTTCGGCTTCCACTCCACGTAATGGTCCGTTTCACAGCAGGTTTGATGCTTCGTGAGAGGAGACTTTCATATGAACCTAAAAATCATCAAATAAGACGTAGACTACTTTCAGTACAGGGCTGTCTGTCATACCGTGAGTGAGTGAGTCTCGTTGAATTTGCCCCGCGATCTGGTGCTGTTGCCCCGCGAAAAATTCAGTTAGAAGAATGATACGATAAGATGACAGGCTAAAAGGGTACATGTAGGTAGTGAGGTGGCCAAACGCCCTCATGCCTATTGGCCATATCTCACATGTGGATTCACACTGGCTTTCGGGGAGCTCAAAAGTCTTGAGAACTCACTTGAGAACTCATTCTCACCTCATGGAAATGATTCCACTAGCTAGAGATTTTCGGTTCTCATGACCAATCGGTGTTACGAAATGTGTGTCTAGGTCCAGTCTTTCTTAACTAAGCAACAGAGGCATATATGCATGCGTCGCGGATTGTTTCGAAATACTTGATATAAAATGGATATCATCATTCGAAGAGATCATTGTCTTCATAAGAAAGAAAAGGCATATTTGTGATAGAGACTCTTCGTCAACGTCGAATCAACAGCAAGGAGTACATCGGATCAACAAACATGAAAATGACGGGAGATATCTTGAATATTGCAGCATCCCTTCTTACCTTACCTTACCCCGCTGCATCCCACCATCAGATAAGGTAAGCGATAGCAGGCCCACCCGTCAACGCAACGAATGATGCCTCCTCTCCCATTCCCATCCGACGTCTGCATGAAAGATCGCCAACCTTGCACACCCTACAATCCTCAAGAAAATCATCCGAACGGCTTCATCTGCTCTGCCACGTGGCCAGCATACTTTCTCTCTCTCTCTCTCTCTCTCTCTCTCTCTCTCTCTCTCTCTCTCTCTCTCTCTCTCTCTCTCTCTCTCTCTCTCTCTCTCTCTCTCATTCTCTCTCTCTCCAGGATCGCTCCACACGACCAACCCCTACCCAGGATTCCCGCGCCTGCATTGAGTATCTCATCCAAACACACCCCTCCCCCAAAAAGTTCCATCTCACCGTATCTTCAACAACATGGCGATCGCGGTATGGCTGCCCAACACACCCCCAAAAAGGACCACGTGTCTCTGCAGATGACTTACTGATGCGGTCCCCTCTCCCCTTTGGCGTGAATAGGCTGTCGGTCAAATCTGTTCCACGGCCTCTCTGTCACACAATCTAGAACAGTGCGTGAGGCTCGTCGCCAAGGCCGCTATCGGTGGTGCCAAAGTACGTTCGTTCCATCCATCCGTATCAAAGGGGGCGTCGATATCAAAACACTCGTCTTGCTCTTTTCCTCCCTCTCTATATCTCTCACCGCAATCCCATCCTGCTGCAGATGAGAAAGCTGCAATGCAAATGCAGCTTGAAGCACAGAAATGGCTTCATGTCTGCCTCTTTTCCACCCCACTACACCACCAACACCAACAGACGCCGCTGACCGCGTGCTTCCTAGGTCCTCTTCCTCCCCGAAGCCGCAGATTACATCGCCTCGAGCCCGCAAGAATCCCTCTCCCTAGCCCAACCGCAGTCCCAGTCCCCCTTCGTCCTCGGCCTCCAGGAAGCAGCAAAAACCCACTCCGTCGCCGTAAACGTCGGCATCCACGTCCCCACAACAGACGCCCAGAAGCCAGCCGTAATAGCAGCAGCCGTAGACGCCGCCGCCGCCGCCACTCCAAAACTCCTCAACCGTAGCCTCTGGATCAACGCAGACGGCACCATATTCCAAGCCGCAACCTACGACAAGCTCCACCTCTTCGACTACGGCGCCCTCCGAGAAAGCGCAACAGTCCAAGCCGGCCCCTCCCTGACGGCCCCGTTCCCCACCCCCGTCGGCCGCGCCGGCAGCCTCATCTGCTTCGACCTCCGTTTCCCCGAACCAGCCCTCGCCCTGACGCACCCGGGGCCCAAGAGCCCCTTTCTCCCCGACAACAACGGCAACGGCCCCGCCCAGATCCTCCTCTACCCTTCCGCCTTCACTATCCGGACGGGCCAGGCGCACTGGGAGACCCTCCTCCGGGCCCGCGCCATCGAGACGCAGAGCTGGGTCGTCGCCGCGGCGCAGGTGGGCGCGCACAACCCGAAGCGGAGCAGCTACGGCCACAGCATGGTCGTCGACCCGTGGGGCCGGGTCAAGCTGGAGCTGGGCGGCGTGGACGCCGATGGCAGGGCCGAGGAGGGCGCCGAGGGGGCCATTGGCTTTGTCGATGTGGACTTGGACGAGTGGGCTAAAGTCAGGGAGGGTATGCCGTTGGCCAGACGGACGTGAGTTGTGTTTCCTTTCCTCTCCCTCTCATTCCCGTCATCTTTCCCTTTTCTTCTTCGTCTTACTCACACCAACCTCCATCTCTAACATGGCACACCCACTTGAGGCTCAAAATTTTCTCCATGTGAATGACACGCCCCTCCCCTCCCTCCTCTGGAGGTGCTGTCATTTCTTCTCTCTGGGCATTCCCGTCCCCCCCCCCCCCCGTTCACCTAGGATGCCGGCCCCTCTCCCATCGTGTACCAACGGGATGGTTTAGCTGATGACCTGAGAGCAGCGATGTGTACCCTGAATTCTGAAGGTCCTCCTTGGGTAGGCGTGTGAGCTGTCACATTCCCGGAGAGCAGGGTCAAAGCTGGGATCGCAGGTGTATCCGTAGAGTTGCTCATACTCCGTACATACGGAGTACGTAGTACAGATAAAGGTATTACAGTGCAGACCGGTATGGAGAGGGCCGCGGGTCTCGGGAGAAGGGGAGGGGGGTCTAGCAAGCCTCGCTGCCGGGGAGAGGCGGGAGGGAGAGAAAAAGAAGCACAGGTAACCGGTACGGGCGAGACGAGACGAGCCCTGAGTCCCTGACTGTCGGTAACACCGCAGTGCAGGACCTTGAGGGCTTGAGGCTCTTTGTGGGAAAGGAATGCTGCAGGGATGAGCGTCCCAACCACTCGGCGCGTCTGTGGATATTCTAGAAGGGTAGCCGCAATGTTCCATAGATTGGGGGCGCCGTCGGTTGAAATGATGAATCGAGATTAGTGTGTAGAAAATTTTAAAAAAGAGGTCCTGGGCCGTATGGGAGTATCCGTACGTACTTTCGTACGAGAGACCGCAAAGGTTACCTTGACCTCCACAAGCAAGACAGGGCCCGTGTTTGGCAAGACAGGGTGGGAAAGATGAGAGAAAAGACAAATCCACCCCGGTGAGACCCTCACCGAGACAACAATCTCCCTTGGGAGATATGATGTTCTGAATCGACACGGGACCCGGTTCCAGCGAAACAGCCAACCTACGGCAGAGGCTAGACCGGGCCCCTTGACGGGCTGGGAGGATCGGTTGCATGCCACCGGCAGTTGGCAGACCGAAAGGCCCAATTTCCCAAGAGTCCAAACGCTCATGTTCCCCGGTGACCCGGTGAGTCAACATCCCAGGATGGACTGTGTCTCCCTGTACCGGTGCAGAGTACGTTCGTTCGGTACCGTGGCATTCTGTCGGGCCTCTTGGCTTTTACAGCGGGTTTGCCCACATCACCAATGCCCTTAGCTCACCGGGGGGAAGAAGGGGAAGGACGAGCCGTCAGCGGGTTGGGTTGGGTCCGTTCCAGCCCTTTGCATTTTTGCAGCATCTAAGTCCTCGGCGATGGGGGCGAGAGCCCCGGCCGGGTAGCCTACTCCGGATTGCCCACGAGTAGCGTACGGATACACTAGAGCCAAGGAACAAGAGAAGACCCAACGGTTTTGGACCTGGGGGTTGGTGTGCGTCTGTCGGTGTGCCTGGCCGCTCCCCGTTTCCTGGTGCTTGCTGCACTGCTGATCCAGGCCTGGCCTGTCTTTGCTCGTGTCGTAGTTACTACGTATGCATGGAAAGTTTCGGTCAGGAACTCAGGGGTGTGTGAGAGTGAGCAATGAGCATCCTCCTCGCGCCGGAGCTGGAGCCGTGATTTGGGTTAATTTTGCCCGGACACGCGATTTGGGCCCATTGGACGTTAGCAAGGGTTATTGTGTCGGCCCCACGAGAGCGAGATAGAAGGTGAAGAAGGAAAAAGAGGGACGCGCTAGAAGGAAAATCTGAAATTCGAAATAACGTGGTAAAATTAAGAAAGGCAGGAAACGAGATCCGCCTGCTTCAGTTATCCTCAGCTGCCCGGGGGAGGGAGGGAGGGAACCTGGGAAGAGACCTGGGAGGGCGTCGGGGCGTATCTGTCGTAGGTACCTCAGTACGTGGCTTCGTTGGGTTCGTCCAAGTCACCGTGCCATTCCAAACATGGGCACCCATGCAGAATCCATGCAAGATGGATACCGGTGGAGACGGAGCATGCTGAGCGGTAATGTTTCCCACTGGATGAAGACTTGGCCAGGGATCCGATGACGGTTTGAGGGTGTGTGTTGAGCGAAGAAGGAAAAAGAGGGACCTTCTTCCTCCTTCTTTGCTTCTTCCATTGTCCTCCCCTGTCGGCAGCCCTTGGGGCTTTTCAAATAATGCCTCCGGGGATCCGGGGGCCCTGCCCCGGCTACAGTGTCCGCATGGCTCGGTGGGGAGAGAGAAGAGAGACGAGAGAAATAGCGACTTTTGGCAACGGCTGTCCGTTTGTTGCGGGGACCTTTTGTCGGCGGATCCTCTCTGATCGGCTTCCTTGAACCTGGGAAGAAGTGAGCAAAAAAGAAAAAGATCCCAAACCGCGGCCCCGGGAAATTTGGCAGTTTGAGATATGCAGAACCTTGCCACTCGTCTTGGCTCCCCGTGAGATTTTCTGCTTCTCCCGGAGCCCCGCCCCCCCCAAGGAGTCCCAGGCTTTGTGGTCAGGCGGTCTATCAAACAAGGCCAGGGCTTTCACTCACCGAATTGGACCCTCATCATCACGCCTTGCGTCTCCATCGAAAGGAACTTCTCGAAGAACAAGCCCTTGTAAGGATAGAAGGCATGGGGAAGAAATTTTTCCAGAGGTTGGGGACGACGCGCAGGGAAAGGGAAGCCGGGGAAGGGAGTATATCGCACCGGTGAGGGAGTTGATGTCCAGGACGGCCCTGGGCGGCGCAGAAGCGGTTGTTGGAGAGAAACATGGGATGAAACGTTGGAAGGATGATCTCTGCTTGTCGAAATATCCTGGCCTCCTTCAAAGAAGGTACCTACCTCTGCCCTATCTAGGCACGAAATATCCGTCGTGGTTACTCACCTCTCGGTGACGAAAGCAAAGGGGGCGGCGGGGTGGGGGTTTCGCTATCCAGTCGTCTCTGAAGACATTGCGGAGTCGAGTACGGATATCAGCGAGACAGCAGAAAGAGACGTAAAGGGACCCGACTACTCGGTCGAGACGTCGCATTTCCCGAAGGGCATGCATCGATATGCGCCCCCCGCTCATCTGCGCCTCCTCGGCCCCCTTCTCCTTTGCCCCCCCGTTTCGCAAGGCGTAGACCAAAAGCCAGACGTGGGATGTTGCATGCGTGGGATGTCCAAACCGAACCGAGCCGGGAAACTGGCACACTGAATGAGGCTCTTTTCTCCTCCTTGGGTTAGAGGGGGTGGGCGGGGAGGAGGAGGAGGAGGAGGAGGAGGAGTGATTCCCGCTGTCTCGTCCTGCTGGGCCGTTTCATTCACGATGTGGCGTGTACTCAAGTTGGGTGGTGTGTCTGCCGCGTGATAACGAGGGCTCGGTGAGCTGAGGTGTGGCCCATGGTGTCCGGAAATGGGTATGAGGGGCCGCCTTCGTTGCTATGCGTCTTGTTTCCTACGCAGTATGCAATTGCCATGCGCATCAATTTGAAAACAGCTGCGCATACTCCGTACGGAGTACCCACGGCGGATCTGGATGCGAAGCAGCGCAGCGCAGCGCAAACACAGCCATTCTTCGGCTACAGCCGAGAAGCGCCGAAGAGACAAGCAAGCAGACCGAAATTTGTCGATGACTCGGCCAGCAAATGAATGCCATGGCAGTCAAGTCAGTCTTTCTTGCAGCTGGTAAACGGCTATTTTGTGCGCGCCTTACGGGTAACACCGTAGTGATCCGTTTGGCCCGGGACGCACATCCGGGACGTCGTAGAGATACCCATATTTGATAACCCGGGGAAGGGGGAAAGCTGCAGCAATGACAATGTAGCCCACCAAACCCGAGTTCGTGTCCCAAATTGCCGGTACGGATAAGGTGGTGTGGGCTTTGCAGAGGATGGAAGGTTTGCCTTCCAAATGCCATTGGTGTGTGTGAGTGGTTCAATCTCGCGCCTTGCAGATGGCCAATGGGAGAGAGACTGGGGGATGGGATGAACTATCTCGTTGGCTGAAAACCAGACGCAGCATGGGCGTGTTTGCTCCACGTCCAGGTGGTCTGTCTGTTGGTTGTTCTTGACTTTAGGCCGTTGGACGTTGATTAAATGGCTGGTTGTTGGTACGAATAGTTGGTACTCGAATGGCAGTTTGGTTGGTTTGCGCCATCCCGTCAGTTGTCATAATGACGACGGCAAAACCAACGTCTAACCAGGACTGGTAGGGACATTTGGTGTGATGGCGGGCCCCTTTTCGAGAAACTCGAGAAGCGCAAACCATGTGGCTTGTCAATTTTGCGTTTGTATGCAAGATGTGTGTTGTTGACTCGTTGGTGTTGGACGATACAGGGGAAGCAAGTAGACAGTCCCAAAGTCGGAACCAATATCGCTGACCATTTTTGAAAATTTTTGGTCATGTCAAGGTCAAAGCCGAAAAAAGGAGATCGACAATTAGCCCCCCTTTGAGTGTCTCACGGGAAAGAAGAAACAAAACGTTCCCCCTTCCTTCCCTGCATTGCAACTACCGGAATAGGTCAGCCAGCATCTTCTGCAGGTCGCGCAGGTTAGCTGCATGTTCTCTGCAACCCTCTCTTTCCGCGTCGGGTCGGGGCTGAGGTACCTCCTTCACCTTACGAGTCAAGGTGTGTGTGTGTGTGTGTGTGCCGGTGTGTGTGTGTGCAGGTGTGTGGGACCCGTTCGTCCCTCCTTCTCTCACCTGGAGCTCACCGACCGCTTAGCTTTCTTTCGTCCAAAAAGAAAGTGGATACCCCACCGAGGACTAGAAAGATATCTAGCGCACATTTCGGTCAATGATAAGCCCGTTTCATCCTCTCTCCGGCCCACCGCGGGCCACTCCCGAACAGCAGCAAAAAGGGAAAGGGGAAAAAAAAACAAGGTCCCAGCGCTTTGGTTCCCGGGACGCCGCCGCTGCATTAGCGCCGTACGGACACACACCCCGCGGCTGATACCTTACAGAGTTATGTACAAACGGAAACGCAGTCAGCTCTCACACGCAACTGAATTCACACCACC